ACGGTACCGGAGAGCGGTTGATGCTGGACTGAAACAACGGTAATAGGTAGGACTGATCGAGCAAGCGGACCTTAAACTCCAGCGCTAGTGCCTTCAGCACTTGCAGAAAGTCACGGTTACTCGTTCTGTCGAGCCATGGTTCCAAGGTGAGTAGGCTAGTATGAACGCTTGGCGACCCTTCCCGTCGGCTCAATTCTGCCACTACCTTGATTTTGAAGTGCGACCCCGAATAACTAGTCCACACAGTAGACGCCTCAAAGTGAATGTACCAGTCGAGAAAGGAACTCGTTACAACTTCAGACGTGGGGCTGTCACAGGTCACAAGCTCCACAAAATGGGTCATTGCATCCCTTAGCACGAGTACGTAGCCAGAAATACCAAAATAATTGCCCAGGGTAAAAATTATCAATGTAGAGTCTCGTTGCGTTCAAAAGTGTAGTGAGTCTCATTAAAAGGTCGGGGTATTACCACACCTCCCTTCACGTGAAGACAGAGTAAGCACTTTGAGCAGTAGTCCCGCACACTCTTAGTAAGACCACTGATGGAGAACAATTGGCGAATGTGAGTCTCCATCAGATGCATGCCGCCGTGTCCACTCCTTCTACAATGTGCAATGGTCAGTAGTCTCTCCGTCAGGTCGCACGCTACACTAGGTATCCAAATTTAGTCATTCAGCCGCCATAGATCGTCATCTCCCAGCGATGCACCCTTCGGTACGTCGTAAAATGTTTGTTCACAACCCATTTCATAAAGAGTTGGTCAGCCGAAAGCGTACTTGTCAAACGGGTGCAGCGATGTTGGTGCTGTACTTAGTGCTGTCCCACTGCCACACTTCCTCTTTGATCGAGTGAGCCGTTTGGTCGAATGGAATCGCGCTGCCGGTTGAGGCTTGTCACCCCCCTCTTCCTTGAAATCAAGTCGGTCCAGAAGTTGTTTCTCCCTTCAATGTGCTCGATTGAGTATCTATACTCTAGTGGCTTCGTAGACCAGCGTAGCAGCTTGTCCGTGCGTGTTTCGTTTGCTCTTTGTTTGGGTCACACAGATATACGATATTTCGGTGATCGCAGTTAATTTTAAAGCCTTGTGGTCGCAGTAGCAGGTACTCCAGTCTTTCGCACGCGGGTACGATAGGATAGGTCGCTTTCTCAATGAGACTCCATTTACGGGACGAACCCTTGCATTTACCTCCTACACACACGAGACGTTCATGGTGCTGTTCGTGGTTAGGCACATCATCCTGCCACTGATTCACTTGCGAGACCACAAGTCCATACCCGTAATCAGATGCATCGCTCAGAACGCATATCTGCTCGTTGGTTTCTGGAAATGTCAGCATTGCCGAGTTGCCAAACAACTCTTTCACAGCATTGAAAAACCAGATATCGGACGCAGTCGGATTCAGCCCGTTTCCTGCCGCGGCTCGTTTCGTCTTTTTTGTGCCAGTGAGAGAGCTGTCAAATCGTTCCTGTAGCGGACGTGCCACTCGAGTTAAATCCACATGCTCATACCTCACCCAGCTGCTAACACAGAGAAATTGCTGCAATTCTGCAGCGGTTTGCGGTGCAGGCATGGCTCGCTGAGCTTGAATTCGCTCTGGGTCATGTCCGATCCCGTGACGGCTGATAATGCTGCCACACCACCGTACTTCCGTGAGAAAGAGAGCACTCTTCTCTGGACTGAGTAAAAGTCCGTGCTTATCTAGTTTCACCAGTACTGCATCGTTTGCATTCACCAACTCCTCTCCGGTATCAGCGAAAACGAGTAAGTCATCAATCCACACGATATCGTTCTTGTTCACCAGATCGCATAGTATCATTTCACTGTTGACTAAAAATGCAGTGCAGCATCCGTGCTGCCCTGCGGTACTCGAGTCGGTGTGAGGACACCTCGGTCTGTCATGTAAGAGAGGATTTCCCGGAAGCTTTTGTCTTACGGTAGCTGCCAGAACCCTATCAAGAAGGCGAAGATCGCGTATAACATTTTGGCTTTGCAGTTCTCTAGAGCTACCTCAAGGCTTGGCATGACGCCGCCGATTGGTCGGTCACAGCGTTTGTAGTTCAATAATCCACAGTTTGTCTGACCTCACTCGTGTTTGGTTTCGTCGCAGGTAGTGCGGGGCAAAACCAACCGCTTTCACGGTTTTCGTATACCTAACCGAGAGCCACAAGCTTCTTGTTAAACTCTCCCATAAACTCGGACTTCTCCGGGCTATACTGTCGAGTCTTACACCGATAGCGTGTTGCATTCGGTTTAAACCTGATCGTATGTGGAGGTACTCGCGCTGGCGGGCCATCTCCAAGCTCCGAACGCCACCCACCATACTTCCGTACCACCTCATACAAACGACTAGTAGTGTAGGCGTCGATCCCACCACGGTCCATAGCGTCACGCACCAGCGCATCAACAACGTTCACCACAATGCCACCTACGGCGGGATTGCACGACGGGATTCCTTTAGGATCACCGCACCGTTTATCGTCTTCCACTGTACGAGAGACCAGGTCCTTCAATTGACGGTCCACGCCAATCACCATCTCGGCCAGCAATAGTTTACCAATGATGAACTCGTCTTCGTCACTTTCGACAATCAGACACCTTTTTGTATCTTTGCATTTCACACGAGCTGTTGCAGTGTTAAGAGAAGAACCTTAACTGCATGCGTCGAGGTGAGCAGCCCTTTACCATCCACCCTCGAAGATATCGGTGCATCCAATTCGCCAAGCACATCAGCCAAATCCTGTCACAGAGCAGATCGACATGCTTGCGCGCTATAATGTTCATTTTCGATCCACTGTCGGCGCAGCTCCAGTGCTCCGTAATCCCCACCGTAGGGCAGTTCTCCCTGTTCGTCGTAGACGGTGCGTCTACGCGCTTTGAGCGATTTTTTTTATTTTTTCATTGATGACGTCTCTTGGTTTTCCTTTCGACCAAAATGGTTTCCTTCGCAGAAGGTTCGTCTAGGTCCGGACACAGACTGAGCCTATGGGCCTTGCCAAAGTGAAAACAGCCAGTCCGTGGCTTGCTCTGAGTCGATGATATCGGGTTTTCCTGTATTTGCACAGAACGGGGACACTCGGAGGCTTTCTCTGCCTTTCTGCTACCCCGCTGATTATCGTGACGTGACCCCTGGTCATCATCGCTCTTGGATTTACCAGCGTTGCGCAGAGCGCCCGGGGATGCCTGCGGTTGGCCATCAACTGATACACTCGCTCTTACTCTAATGATTTCTCTTTTACGAGAATGCAGAGTGTATTTTCATCCAATTTGCTGTTTGCGTCCTCGATACGGAGGTGCACGTCCACAGCCTCATGCAACGTAGCAGGCTCCAGATGCTTCCTTTGGATTCTATACTTCTCCTTCATCCCGGCTAAAAGTAGAGAAGAGGCTCGCCATACCATACCGTATTGCAAGATGTTCTCACAGCGGCGCATGAAGTAGTTGATCACGCGACTTTTTACATAAATAAGGTGATACTAATTATGAGCTCAGACTAATTTTGAACACGACATTTTCTTGCTCACGGTAATTAGTCTCACATTCGAACGGTGTGACTAATTTCGAACTGTGACTATTTATTCACACAGACTAATTACCGTAGGCACTGTAGCTGCTATTTGTACTTTGAGGTATTTTAGCTATAAAAGAGCGTCTCTATTCCACTCTGATTTCCAACATAGTCACAAAAGAAGCGAAATACGCTAAGCGATTCCCGAAAATCGATCTTTTAATCGTAAATTCCAAAGAAAACTTGTTATCTTGTGCAGATCTACTACATGACTTCGTAGAACCTAGTCATTTTCGGTAATTCTACTTTGGTGTTGTGCTCTGTTTCCTGTTTTGGCATTACTAAGGATTAAGCAGAGTCTGCAGCACCTCACATAAATTAGTATGAGTGAGACTAAATACCGTAGCCCTAAACCCTAAACCCTAAAAAACAAAAGAATAACCAGACCAGCTTCTCAACAATCGTAAACTAGTGTGACTAATTAGGGTGAGACATTAATTAGTCTAAGTGTGACTAATTCTACCACACCTTAAATAGTCAGAGTGCATAATTAACCACACTCATACTAATTTAGGTGAGCAGAGTCTGCAGCACCTCACATAAATTAGTAAGAGTGAGACTAAATACCGTAGCTACTGTAGTGATACTTTTAAAAAGTAGGCCCAACGATATATTGGCATGATGGAGTATTAATAACAGTGATGGTTGCTAATATTGCCCTTCTTTTCGTGGACAACACATGTTCACCTGTATGACACGTGCTCGGCGATTTTGTCCACGTTGGCGAATACCAAGCAGTTCCATTCTGAACGCAGGGGTTTTAGGCACTGTTGGAATGTAGCAATCTTAGAGCAGTGCGTCCACGTGGATTTCTGTGCACAGCGATCAGGTAATACCGGTATATTCATTTCGAAAAGAACTGTGTATATATAGTACCGCCGTAGTAGCGTTCGCTGGATGTCGTAACGCGTGTATGATGACGAGGACACAAACGGATGTCGAGCATAACAAAACGCCGATTGCTATCTACAAATCCAGGAGAAATAGCGCAAAGATTGGTGACTAAATACTCGTAACGATCATGTCGGCTAAAAAAAATTGAAGATTGAGTCGTCCGTACATGTAAACAAAAAAAAAAAAAAATTGCCTATTCTATTTTTTATAGAAATACCGGCAGTTATTATTATAATGTGAGCTAACTGATATAATTCAAGCCTTAGATACTATCTAATGGAAAGACAGCAGATACCTACTGCTGCTTTTGTGCTCGGGTACTACGAAGTATAATACATCTGAAGTAATACTGTACATGCACCGTACGAAGAGGCCACAAGTTGTCAAATTTGGAAGGCAACATAAACGATGACTTGCAGTGTGATCGTCGTAACCAATCCAGTCCAGCTCTCCAATTTGCTACTAAGCCTTTTCATTTTCACAACTGAATTTACCCACGTCAGCACTTGTCCTGACGTCATCCAACGTGGATAACAGCAACATGCGTCTCGTGATCTTGTCAGTGGCTACGATTCTCGCATCTGTCGTCGGTGTGTCCCTGGCTAGGGCCCCCGACACGGCCGTACTAAGTCCACCCACTACAAGACTGGGGCTGCTCAGAAACAGCAACGACAACGATGAAGAGAGGATGATCAGTTTGTACAAATTCAAGAATATATTCCGGTCAGGAAACAATGAAAACAACCAATTGACGGTCTGGCTGAAGGATAAACAGTCTGCAGACAAGGTTTTTGGCCTACTCAAGCTAGACGATGGGGCGGACAATGTTCTAACGCACTCGAAATTCAAGGCGTGGGAATCTTACATTTCCATGTTCAACAACAAGTACCCGAATGACGAAATGCACATGATTGACATGCTTACCAAGCGCTATGGAGATGACGTGGTGTCCAGAATGATAGAGGCAGTCAAAACCAAACCGGGTATGGAAAAGCTAGCGGGAAAACTGCAAACAGATCTGTTTCGAGGCTGGTTCAGACAGAGTAAATCCCCCGACGATGTGCTCAGAATACTCAAGCTTGACGACCCTGCAAATATCGACAAAGGAAACTTGGACGCGTGGCTCAAGTTTCTGGATGTGTTTAACAAGCGCTTTCCGAATAGTAGAACTAACATGCTTGACTCATTTGAGCGCGCGTACGGGAATGAGATAGGTCTGGCGAAAAAGCTTGCAACAGTGCAAAAACCAAATGGCGCCCAACCCAACGACGTGGAAGTCGCGCTATTTTCGAAGTGGCTCAAGAAAAAGATGAACAGAAAGGCAGTCGTGACGAAGGTGTTCAAATTACAAGAGGGCGAGGAGCTGAAGGATAAGAACCTGGCGGTTTTTCTGCTCCGCTTCAGTAGCTACTACACAAATGCGCCAAAGCCCCACAAGCGAGTTCGTTTTAATTCACAGGTAGTAGTTCTGGGCCAATAGATCGCCGTACTAATGACAAAGTCATGCCGCGCACGGAAAAGCCCTGAAAATTTCTAGCGTGGTTTGTGCCGCTGCTGTAATTGCTTTGCAGTTGCTCTCTCTCTCTCTGTTGCTCCCGCTCTACGCCTACATTACCTTCTGCCCGTAAAGATAGCGGTAAAATAACATAAAATCAAAATCTATCTATCTGTGCTAAATATCGTTGAGCTTAATGGTCTTTACCCTGACTCCAGTACACGTGTGCCGATAAAAAAAACGATTCAAAAACAAATCCTGGGTGCCCTCCAAAACCCATATAAAACGATTTAATCAGATTAATCGGTAATTAAAATAAATTTGTTTAATGTACAGTAGTATAATCCTAGCCGATTTTTTAAAACACAATGGGTGCCTTTCAAAACCTAAATAAAATGCTGAGCATTAAAGTTTAATCACGAGCTGTCGACTTTTAAGTAGTTTCATGATTAAACACATGACTGAACGTCACTACCCGAAGGTCGCGTTCCAGCAACCATTTTAATGTACATTAAACCGATCTGTAATCGATTTAGAATTATTGATTAAACTGATTAAACCGTTTTAAATGGGTTTTGGAAGGCACCCGTTGGGTAATGATACAAGTGTTCGTTCTTTGTACTACAAAGAGCGAGCACTTGCATTATTACAACTCACGGATATTACCCAATTAAACACCGTATGCTGTCCAATAAGCAAGCCACAGCAGTAAACAGGGGATCATTACAAAGTTTGCACTGGTTTGAATAGCGGATATTACCCGATTAAATACCGTATACTATCGAACAAGAAAGCCACAGCAGTACTCAGGGCATACAAAATGGATATAGGGTAATAACGATATACTCACACAAACGCTTCCGAGTCCCAAATCGTAAATTCATGCAAATTATTCAGCACATCCAGCTCAACGCCGTCGTCAGACTCATCATCTCGCGTCAGCCACTTGCGGCAAAACATTTCGCCGGAAAAATCGTGACGGAAAATGTGTCAATCCTCAACGCTCGGAGAAAACCCGGCTGCCGCAATTAAGTAGGCCGCAATAATCTGGCAAGGCCTTCCACCGTTCCACCGTGGAGGGCCTTGCCAGATTGTTGTGGCCTGTGGAATCCACGCTGTTTGAACTCTTTAAACCAGGTTTCTATTAATACTGGCGGCTTCTTCGGATCGGCTCCTTTCGTGTACATAACACGATCCGACGACTTCCACTCGTCGATGATGGTGGACAACTTATCCTTAAAGGACTTGTAAATGCCAAATATCACCAGCTTGCACCAGTGCTGGCAATAACGACGTTCCAACAGGCGAAGCATGATGATTAACTTCTTACCACCTGTGGTAACGTTCTTACGCGTTTTTACACGTTTTTACGGATCTCGAACACAAGACAGAATCCTTAATCACCAGAAGGCAGTTTATTTTGAGTTGGCGACTGTCGACGCGTCATGACGTCCCACGACTAGGAGCTGGCGCGTCTCCGGACGTACGTATTTTTGGGTATAGGAGGGGGGGGGGCAACACGATCTTCTGCTTCGTGCCGTCGCAGGTGACTTTCAGTGCATACGTGCTGTTGGTGGATGTCGGTACGGCGAAAGCGAATCTGGCGCTGTTCAACATCTTGCGCTTCCCGGTGTTCGTGCTGTCACAAGTTTAAAACAACGCGGTGGAAGCGAACGTAAGTTTTGACCGTCCGTGTAGTTACTTGGTGGTCGAGGAGCGCATCAGGGTGAGTGAGGGCGGCTTGCCAAAGGTGAAGAGCTTGGTACAGGACGCAAATTCCGAGTCGGACGCTGCCTCACCGGTTGACGACAAGAAGACCGACATGAAGGTCGAAGAAGAAAAGGCTCTGACGACACCCGTGGTTAAGGGCTTGATGCTACGTCACAATGCCTTTTCAGCCAGAACGGGAGGGCTGCATGTCATTGTAGGTAATGTGGGTAGTGGCAAGCCCATCTTGCTGGCTGGGATCTTGGCTGACGCCGCTGTAGCTCTGGTTCAGTGGCAATTCATGGCAAGGTGAGTACGAATCACAGCAGCCGTTCAGCCAAAACGAGACGATGTACCAACATCACGTTCGGACTGCCGTTCGACACCAACAAGTACGACGAGGCTCTGCCCGTGAGCTCACTTAAGACGTACCTTGACTGCTAGATGACGTACGGAGATCGGCGTGAAGGGCCTCAATCTTAGTAGCAGCCAGCGCACGCGTGTGGCCATCGTTGTGCGGTGTATCAGGACGTCGCCTTTTATCTGCTGGAAGCCATTCTGTCTGCAGTGGACAGCCATGTGGGCACCAACATCTTCAAAGCGTGCTTCAAGAGATCGCTGAAGGATAAGCTGGTGCTGCCAGTGGCGCAGTTGTTGAGCTTCGTGAGCCATTGCGACCAGATCGCTGTGATTGCTGACGGAAGAATCGCCAAGCAAAGATCGCTCAAGAAGTTGATGATGGTGTCGAATAGTGGGAATGAAGAAGACAAGGAGGACATGACGTCAGCAGAGTGTCTGGAGAATACGAATTCGAATGATTTAAATGGTGCAAATACTTAGTAGCCAACGTTGGCAGCTTGTATTGGGCAGAAAATAAGAGCGGTATTACAACTTAGCACGGTTTACTTATAGCAACGAGGGAGGAAGCTTTAGCGTCTGGCCGGCTTTTACTGCGATGCTGCTACAGCAGGCAGCTCCACTCAGCTTGAAAACAGCGTTTCTAGTGAACCTGTTGAGCTCGCAAACCCGTCAAGAGCTTTTCCTGTGGATACGATGGAATATTTTCATCTGGAAGCTGTTGGCTTCGGTTAGCTACAGAAATTGGCTCCAGTTCTGGGTCGTAAACATACCATTCCTCGTCACCGACGATATTCACAATATTTTCTCCATCATCTTCTAGATTGACGATGGCGTCCAACCAGAAGTCCACTGCTCCAACAGTCTCCATGTAGTCTACATCAGTAACGCGGACAGCGAGGTTGCTGGATCGGAAACTCCGTGCATTTGCTGTTTTGGTATCTCTGCAGGGTCAACAGGCTTCTACACTCGCCGATATCACTTTCCCGATGATTGCGCTTGCGGACCTCATTTCGAATGATGCCGATGAGTCGAGCTTTATCAAACTTAAGCTTATTTCACCGCGGAGTCTGTATCAATCCCAGCTCGCTAAAGTATCGCTCGCATGTCGCAGTGTTCACTGCGACCGACAGAATCACTTTCGCTAGCTGAGGAAGCTTACTGCCCTTTCGGTACCACGAATCTGCAACGTGGACTCAATAATCAAATACCCCATTCGGCTGAAGGACACCGGCCTGGTCAGTGAAGTTAGTGTGCTTTTTCGGGGCAAATTTGCCACGCAACCACTTGTCGACATCACCTACGAGCCCATTGCTGTTGAGATCAGCATAGCGACGATAGTAATAGTCAGCAGCAGCGGAGACGCCGTCTACTGACATTAAAAAGACAGTATTGTCGTGAGCTTGTATTAAGGCACGCGTATGGGTCACGTAGAGCGGGTGCAATGCGAAAGCGAGAAGCATCAGCAGCTGCTCACAGCTCGCCCATCTCTTCTTCACCACTGGGGCTAGATGAGAAGCGTATGGACTGGCAACAAAGGCAGCATGTATTTTTCCAAAGCACCGCACGACGTCCGCCATTGTGTTGTCATCGTTTTGTAGTCGGTAGGATGCTTCCGACAGCGGCCGGATGACACGGACCGGATGATGTTTCCAGAACAGTGAATCGTGAAATACATGTAGCGTTGTAGGGAATTCAACATCATATCGATATCCGTGGGCCAGATCTTCTAGCGCCGATCTAACGCGAAGCAGGCTTGCAAAGCAAGCCTGCATGCTATTCCAGCGGGTCTCACACAGCATAATAAGAGCCAAGGTTTCCCCATACATCGGATAAACGCGCTCGTTCGCGCGTACGAGCCACTTTGACGATGAGCTGCTCAAACTTGCCGTCGCAGAAGCTGCCTGCTTCGTCACTGTCTTGAACACTGTCTTCAAAACGGTTTTAACCAAGTTGTTCACGACATGAGCGCAGCACCGTAAAAACACAATATTTGGCCATCTTAAGGCCAGTATTAGTCTCGCCCTTGCGCATTGACCCGCATCGTCAGTAACGACGGCACCACAATCCAATTTAATGCCAACGCTCTCATGAGTGATCCCTCCATCTGCTTGGCTATGACAATGCCAGGGTGAGCTGAGTCGCTGGGTAGTAACTCAGACTGGACAACAATGCCAAGCACGCAACGTTGGCAGGGAAGAAGGTGACGTCGAGCGACATTCTGGTATACGTCAGAAAGGCAATTTATTTGCCCACCAAAATCCTCTTGCTTCTCTCACAGGCTCTCCTTTGACACAGTTTCTGCGCTTTCTGCATTAATTTTAAGGACACGACCTCCGAGCCCTTTTCTTGTAGGTGGCTCATAGCGCGGCTGCATCTGTGCGAACAACCTCTTGGTTGAATCACGTTCGATGAAATAGTCTGGTAGCGCGCACTCAGCTTGAAACTCTAGAAGATCACGCTCAAAGCTATGTTGCTCGTCCATAGTCATAAAGAAATCACTCATCCGTTTCTGCCGTTTTGCTGCGGTGCTACTCAAAGATCCAATTGACGAGATGGGCCGCACATACGAATTTGCAGGAAGGGTCGTAGCAACAGCCTCCGGTCGGTGGTATGGACAGCGCTTTAGATGGCTACAATAAGCGTCGGCACGATCACGAATTAGCTCCGGTGCTTCCACGTTGCCAGCCCTGCTGACATGCGCGGCTTGGCACTTTTTGCAGACCCACCAGTGGTGCTTGTCGGACACGCTTCCATCCTTCTGGGCAATGGGCATTTGGCCCTCGAAGAAATGACTAATGTTTTCGGAAGCTGGGGCAGGCATCGACCAGAGACGGAAGGTAAGATGGGCTCAAAAGCTATTGGATGAACTGCCAGGAAGTTAGAGCCTGTGATCCTGCGGCGAATAGCAAGCCACACTATACGCTGCAAAGTTCCCTCAGATAAAAAAAGGATTTTCAAATATGCTTACGAAACAACGCGTAATAAGTCCGTAAAAACGTTCTGACGGGGGTTATATTCTTACCGACTTCTTACGAACGTTCCAACGCTTTCAACGAAATTTCGCTTCTACATCGGCTGCCAACACTGCCAACACTGCTTGCACATACGGCATTAATCTCCCGGAGATAACGAACATCTGCAGATCCTTCTTAGCAAAGCGAGCCCTCACAGATTTCGACGTGTGGGCACGCATCGAGTCCCAGACAACGGCCTTGCCCGCCGTACAAGCGTCAAAGATAGGTGGAAACACAAGGTCGAGCCACCTGATCAGCAACTGGAAATCAACACAAGCCCTCTTTTGATAGGTGACATACGAATTTCTCACCCGTTCAAGTTGGCCATCCTGCTGAGCGCCTTTCCAGATTACCAGAGGGGGAAGCTTTCGACCAGACGCTACCACAACCAGCACAGCAGTCATGCGCATCGACGCGAGACCAGTCGACTTGAGTACCACGTGACGCGCCCCAGTCAAGGCGATTACCTGGCGGCGTGGGTCTTCGATACATACCGCAGTTTCATCCATTCGCACGGTATGTGCCAGGTTAAGTCTGTCCTTTCGCTTGGACAAGTACTTAATATAGCGTACGGCTCTATCCGTCAACACGTCATTGGTTAATACAGTCAGTTTTGTTTTCCGACGCAGCGACAAATCATAGCGATGCATGAAGCCACCCACCTACTTGCTTGAGCCGAGAAAACGGGTATCACGTAGCTCGGATTGCGCAAGCTGCTTCGCCATCTCAGCGATTTGGTGGCGCGTGACCTTCTTCTTTTCCGAACGGTGGAAACGAACCTAGTCAAAGATCATATCTTCGACCTCACCAGCCATGGCTTCGCGCCGGCACCTTTTAGGCGCAGGTTACAAACAGGGGCCGCCTTAATCGACTCTTTTTGCTTCCACCAATATCGAGCTTGAGTGCCTGAAACCTTGCAGCCTTGTTCTGGAAAATACTCGACCGCTCGAGTCGGGACTTCTTTATTTTGCTCGATCCATGTCACTACTTCCTTCTTCTCGGCCATAGAATCGCAACACGAGATCGAGACATAATGAATCGGGGAATGGGAAGAATTGGAAGAGTCAGCGCTTGTTGCACGTGGTAAATTGGACAATGGTCGCTCAGCTTGGTAAGTTTTAATGCTCGACGTGCAGTAGAATCTGACGTGAGGACTGCAGGAGGGACACGCTCTTGCTATACTAATTGGAGTGGGTATTAAGGCCTTCACCTAGCTTCAAATACAGTCGGATTTGACAGGAATTTTCAGTTAAGAGAGAATACATTAAGCGAAAAAAATCATTAGTGCTACTAAATACATAGATTCGCACGTTGAGCTCTTATACTACGTACTAGTTTGCAGACATCAGTTGGTTTGAGCCTGCTAAAAGAAGGATCTAGCAAATTATAAATGTCAGCTAACCGTCTAACCAAATATCATATTATGATATTTGGCTAGACGGTTAGCTGACATTATAAAAAAGAGCAATTATTAATATTTAGTATCGAAAACAGTACTATTACTAATGTCAGCTAACCATCTAGCCAAATATCATAATCTGATGTAATGTCAGCTAACTGTCTAACCAAATATCATAATATATTATTTGGTTAGCATAATATGATATTTGGTTAGACGGTTAGCTGACATTAGTAATAGTTTGTTTTCGATACTAAATATTAATAATTGCTCTTTTTTTATTAATAAAATAATATTTTATTTATGAACTCGGAGATTTAAAAAATATTAGATACGAGATGATTTTTTATGATATTTTCAAACTTAAGTACGCTTCTTAAGCGTGTCACAAATAACAAATCATTTCTAAATGTTGTATTTTATTAAAGAACAAAATCACAGTTTAAGCTAAGTTTAATAAGTGCATACTCACAAATGACGTCTTAATAGTAGCCCTATTTAAAAGATGCCTGCAATGCCTCCATTCATACGGCGCGAGTGGCGAAGTGGTACTTAAAGGACCAAGGGGTGCGTGTCATGTGGTGGCCAGCCAAGTCTCCTGACTTAAATCCAATCGAGAACTTGTGGGGAATTCTTTCGAGAGCCGTGTACGTCAATGGCAAGCAGTACGACACGAAGGAGGGGCTCGTGGCGGCCATTAAGAAAGCCTGGAATGAAATTCCTCTTTTGAAGTTAAAAAGTCTTGTAGCATCGATGAAAAAACGCTGCATGGAGGTGTACAAACTGGAAGGGCATAAGACGAAGTACTAAGCTGCTTAGTCAAGGTCGTCACCGTGTCTAGAAAACATAAAAACAGAAGAGTGCTGATACATTTTGTTCGTCTATCATTTTCGCGCAGAGTGCTCCAACACAACAGCAGATTTTGAAGTGTTTCTCAGCCGTTACTTTGCGGATTACAGCAAACAGTACCTTAAAAGAACCGTAATGGTGTTCTCCTGATTGGATATAAAACCCAGATTCGTTGCTTTTGATTTGACAAAAATTGGCTCGAAATCGAGTTTTCGTCTATCATTTCCGCGCTATACGACATCTCACTTAAACTAGAGCGCAGCATCATACAAACCCCATTTTTTTTGTCCTATTCGTGATTCTAGGAAAAGTTTCACACTTTTAAAGCCCAATTTGAGGGTATGCTTCTAAATATCGGGTTTAGCTAGCCAAATCACCCCCCCCTCTTTATGAAGAGCAACCCCAAATATTGTTGGTCGTTAAAAGGCAATATCGCAATATCACTAGAAAAAGCGATAAAAACAGTCGTTTCGTCAAGTTATATTACGACGATGTAGCTTCGTTATTGATACAGGAAAAAAAAACTTTTTTTCACAAACAAGTCAAAAGCAAATTTCCATAATGAAGGTATTAATAATGCTGCATTTAAAAGAAATGGGCTGCTATTTTAAAATTCATGTCAGGTCTGTTCTTTTTTACTTTGGTGGTTGAGTTGAAGATTACGATCATGCAATCTCTGTCGGAGTTGAAAGACGCCTTAACAACGCTCGGAGTGTCAACGGCGACCGGGGATTTAAGAGGACAAGCGAGGCGAGATGAACTAGCCAACAGACTGCAGCAAGCAAGGGTGGCGAGTGGTCAAGTGGCCGGAAATACTGGTGACACAGTGACTCATGCAAGTCAGAATTTGGACAAGATGTCGCTGACGGAGTTGCGTAGTGCGCTGGAACTGCGGCAAGTCCCGACGCAGACACCAGGATTGAGAGGGGAAGCGAGGCGACACGCTTTGGTGCAAAGATTGATCAACATCAACAGTAATCCGCAGAGCCAAAGTAGAAAGACAAACTCTGAGTTGGAAAGTGCTCGAGTTGGTTCAAGTACCGAAGACGATGAGACCAAGTCTGATACAAACTCCAGCGTGTATTCTACAGCAAACGAATTTATTTACTTCGATTCGCCAGGTACCAAGCGAACTTCACAGCCGGTAGTCAAAATGCTGACGCCGCAGCTGTCGTTCACGAAGTTAAAGAGAGATGCAAGTGACGCTCGGGTCCATATTAAATGTACTGAATCAAATAATAACAGCGTGGAGGACTTACAGCGCGAGTTGTTCGAGCTGCGGACCAAACTTCACACTGCTCGTCAAGAGCAGCAACGACTAGTAGATGAGTCGCTGCAAAAGGCTGGGATCCAGCCATCTCTCAGTGAAATCTCGACCAAGTTACAGGCACTCGAACGAGAGCGTCGCCGACTCCAGGACAATCATTTTGGTCACGAACTCGTTAAGTGTGAGGTATTGTCTTCGACCAACGATAACCAGACTTTTCTGGAATTAGTACAAGAAGATGCTCTACTGCTTATAGAGAAACACCAAGAGACCTTGAAGCGTCTAGCTAAGCGGACGAAAGAGGCGATGGCAGTGGCAAAGTTCCACGCTGTCGAGATTGAATCCGGTATCTCCACGTCAGCCAGACAGGAGGAGGACCAAATAATTTCCCAAATCAGTCACATCGAGTCTTCCCTCAGTTCAGCAACAGATTCGTCGACGAAGAGCTCGTTAAAGTCGATTACTGGGTCACGAATCCCCACTTTCGTGCATTACCGGTCAATGCCGAACGGTCTACGTCATGACGGAAGGGATCTAATGCACAAGGGGCAGTGTAGGCAATTGCACGAAGAGCTCCGGTCTGCTACTTCGTTTCGTATTCGACGAGACCGGGTGCCTCTAGAGAGAGGTTTAACTACCGCACGTGTCCCAACACAAGCCGATAAGCTTGGAATGAAAGCTCTATTCATGGAGAAAGCCATGAATAATGTCGATGAGACACGTCGAGTATACCAAAGAGCTCTAGAACTCGATGAGAACCACGCAGGCAACCTCGGGAACTACGCACTTTTCTTGTGTACCAGCTGTGGCCAATATGATGAAGCCAGTGGCTACTTTCAACGAGCTATCACTGCTGATTTAGGCAACGCAAAGAGCTTAGCGAACTATGCGAATTTTCTCATGAGAGGACGTAAAGATTACACGAAAAGTGAAGAACTGTACAAAAGGGCCCTAAAAGCTGCTCAAAAGGATGTGAGCATTATATGCGACTATGCAGACTTGCTTGCTGAAATGAAAGGGTGAGAAAACTTACTGCAGGCTCAACGTGTATTGAAGAAAGCGTTGATAGAATCTCCTCTACATACAAACAATCAGCTGCGGATGGCGTCGGTACTTTCAGCCTTAAACGAAAATGAGTCGGCAGAACGTTGTTTCGAGCAATTGTTGGCCATGACGAAGCAACACGGCGGTCTTATCAACCGAAGTAATCTTGTGTCGATATACGAGACCTACGCTCACTTTCTGCATCAAAGTGGGCAATGGACAAGAGCGAAACACATGTACGACGAAGCGCTCGCCTTGGATCCGCAAAGACCGTCACTTCTTCGGAGCTTGTAAGTTTTGTGCAGTTTACTAACCACTGATCCATGGCTCACTTAAATCCTTGTGTTTCGCCAAACGCAGCTCGTATTTCTTGCGTGATAGTAAACCGTTTCTATCAGCGCGGATCACGTAGTTAATAGTAGTGTTCCGGATCGAACATTTGGCTTCTGTTGAAAATTCGACTGAGACATACCATCCTGGAATCTTTGCGATCGCTAGAACTAATCTATTTTTTGGTTTTGGTTGGGACTGGAGAACTACGTGTATGGAGTTGATAACTCTATTTGGACATCTTCTTGGTACCATCATGGCCCATAATGGGCAGTAGAATGATTTTAGCCAAACTACTATATTATTTTATTTAAACCGCTAACAAAACTAATACTCAAGAAATATTAGTGAATCGAGAAGAGGCACTACAATTGTAGTAGTACTATATCGGACTATTAATATTGTCGACCATAGGCCATGAATGAAGGCAAAACTGACCACTTTCAGATACCAAACGATACAGTCATTGATGGTCCGCGGAGGCACATAACGTTAGTATCACGCAATGATTGATAGCAAAACTGGTTGCTGGACCAAATTCTCGACTAAACTACATGAATTGGTCCGTTTTCTGGGGTCAAGTCCTTAAATGCGTTGTCCTAAGGTACTGCTAATAATTATATAGTAGTAAACTTTTGTTAGCTGCTCAGGGGGTAATGTAATTGCTACTGTAGTAATATTGGCTGTCTTTGCTCGCCAAACTACTGTTGTAGGTTGGTATTTATTAGTACCACGATAGTACCACAATATGGTCGCACATATAGCCCCTGTTAATTTTCGATACGTGTATTAATTCCTTAGTAGCTAGCAGTAGCTTCGAAATATTATGTCGAAACAACTGCCAATCCCTGATCACGGGAGATGTCATGTATCTTGAACGAGAGTATGTATACCCTCCCCACGTTGTACACGATTAGATACGGTTAAACCTTACCTGTATTTCGTCGTGTTAAATAAAGGTGCCATCGATTACGAACTAACTGTACCGAAGTCCCCCTCGTTAAGCGCTCGGGTCGTCAAATACATTCTCAAAGGATATTTTGTGTAATCTCGTGATTTGTGAATTGTGCCTCCAATCGAAAAATCATGTATCAGGGGGTATACAGAGTTCAGGCAAGGGGGACTTTTGTAGCGATTACGAACTTGCGTTCGTAAACACAGACGCTCATGTATTACGAAGTCCACGAAGCACAGGAATTGTGCATGTCACCGCGGTTTCGATCTTAATACAGTTTCGTAGATATTAGCAGAAGTTCTACCGCAGAACATAAACGACAAAAGTTGGCATTTTCGGCCCTTATATAGGCGGTGAAACTTTGAAACTGGAGATAGACTACGTGCGCAAAGTCCTGAATCACTTCCCAATTTTCCCGCATTCTCTCAAGTTCTCCAGCCCTCCATTGCTCTGATGGTAGCAGTTCCTCGGCTCCGTTATACCCTCCTTCTCGTAGCTCTCGCTTTCTTCACCAGCGTGGTCACTACCTCAGCGGCTAAGGTACAGAGCGGAAACTTAAATCTGCTTGTTTCCACTACTGCGGATACTACCGATAGTACCACGGCGAAGAGATTGTTGAGGCAAGTTGTCAAGGCATCTCAGGAGAGCGCCATTTATCCCAGCAAAGAATCGAAGTCTGCTGCAGCGGAAGAAAGAGGATGGCTTACCAATTTTTTTGGTAGTAAATTCACCTTGAGTCAGCTTCGGAAGAAACATTTTCAAAGCTATTGATGAACGAAGCAGCGAAGTCGAAAGCATTAAAAAAAATTGGAAACAAAATACGGGAATAACCCGAAGAAGGTCTATATGGCTTTCGGTGGCCCTAGTATGGATCCACAAAGCTCCAAGTGGAAGTTCTTCGAGGAATTCGGGAACTGGTTTGATATCAAGAACTATCATTGACTGAACACATGAAGAGTCCAGTGCACAATAGAGCTGTCTATGGTGGTACTCAGGATTGTAAAGGAATACCAGGAAGTCAGCATTACATGGATGCCGCTCTGGTTGCTTTTCACCGATTTCACTGTTACTTCTAAAAACAAACAATATCAGTCGTTAAGGATAAACTGAATGACCGATATTGTGTGTGTGTGGCCATTTTGTACAAGATTGCTCATCGTTTGACTTCCCCCACTCGAACTGGCACTCTTTGTGAAAAGTATTTATAGTCAGGTAAGAGGCTGCTGAGCTAAGGTATGTTGTACACTCGGACAAGGCTGCGCTTTGTAAATGTGAGCAAGTCTTACGTGTTTGTCCTTACGAAGGTGATTGTGCTTTGGGTAGATCATCGAAGAGAAAACTTGAAGTAAAGCGAAGATGTCTTGCGTAGCTGAGGGTGATAGATGCTTGGGCACGTACTGCCAAAAACCAAGTTCGGCTTTACTAAGGCGGCTCGACGTTCTGCCGTCCAAATCCCACTTAAGCGAAGTTGTACTGCGTTGGTTAAGACGCCACCTTTACCACAAAAAAGAGGGACCCAAAGCGGAAATAGTGGAACAAGAACGCCTGTAGCACTTCAGCGAACTGTAGCACATCTCGCATGAAATAAAGAGCGAATGATCTCTCGATTTTTTTCCTGAAAATGTGAGTGCGGAGATGGTATTTTGTACTACGTGTATTAGAACGTCTACCGCTCAATTCTGCGAAGCAAGCACAGAAAACGCATTGACCCATCGGGTCACTTATTACAAGGTATTTCGTATCGCATCTTTCGTTTTTACGAATTATTTGCGTGACGCGCATAATTAAAAAAAAAATCTACCATAATGTGGCTGGTATCGCTTTCACAAGTTCCTTTGGTAAAAACAAGGGTTGGACAAAGCGTTGTTCTTAAAGCCCCTTGAGCGCGAAGGCGTGGACCCTACATGATATCAACGATTTATTATCATGAACGGTCCACGTTAAGCGTTTTTGAGTAGGCGTTTGTATTGACCAATACAAACCATTAGCTAACAAGGTTTAGGGAATTTAACCTTTCCCTCTTAGCAAAATCACAGCCGGGGATGCGTGATAAAGCCACTACACAGTTATTTTATGGAGGAACTGTGATGTGCCGGCCTATCATACATTCAGTTTTAGAGTTAGTCGATCGGTACACCACTCATTTTATTCCCTAACTTTCAGATTCGCAGGCTGGGGCGTAAATGGCTGTCAAGGCAAGATGGATCTTTACGGGCAAAAGGTAATGTAGGCGTAGAGCGGGAGCAACAGAGAGAGAGAGCAACTGCAAAGCAATTACAGCAGCGGCACAAACCACGCTAGAAATTTTCAGGGCTTCTCCGTGCGCGGCATGACTTTGTCATTAGTACGGCGATCTATTGGCCCAGAACTACTACCTGTGAATTAAAACGAACTCGCTTGTAGGGCTTTGGCGCATTTGTGTAGTAGCTACTGAAGCGGAACAGAAAAACCGCCAGGTTCTTATCCTTCAGCTTCTCGCCCTCTTGTAATTTGAACACCTTCGTCACGACTGCCTTTCTGTTCATCTTTTTCTTGAGCCACTTCGAAAATAGCGCGACTTCCACGTCGTTTGGTTGGGCGCCATTTGGTTTTTGCACTGTTGCAAGCTTTTTCGCCAGACCTATCTCATTCCCGTACGCGCGCTCAAATGAGTCAAGCATGTTAGTTCTACTATTCGGAAAGCGCTTGTTGAACACATCCAGAAACTTGAGCCACGCGTCCAAGTTTTCTTTGTCGATATTTGCAGGGTCGTCAAGCTTGCGTATTTTGAGCACATCGTCGGGGGATTTACTCTGTCTGAACCAGCCTCGAAACAGATCTGTTTGCAGCTTTCCCGCTAGCTTTTCCATACCCGGTTTGGTTTTGCCTGCCTCTATAATTCTGGACACCACGTCATCTCCGTAGCGCTTGGTAAGCATGTCAATCATGTGCATTTCGTCATTCGGGTACTTGTTGTTGAACATGGAAATGTAAGATTCCCACGCCTTGAATTTCGAGTGCGTTAGAACATTTTCCGCGCCATCGTCTAGCTTGAGTAGGCCGAAAATCTTGTCTGCAGACTGTTTATCCTTCAGCCAGACCGTCAATTGGTTGTTTTCATTGTTTCCTGACCGGAATATATTCTTGAATTTGTCCAAACTGACCATCCTCTCTTCATCGTTGTCGTTGTCGTTGCTGTTGCTGAGCAGCCCCAGTCTTGTAGTGGGTGGACTTAGTACGGCCGTTTCGGGGACCCTAGCCAGGGACACACCGACGACAGATGCGAGAATCGTAGCCACTGACAAGATCCCGAGACGCATGTTGCTGTTATCCACGCTGGATGACGTCAGGACAAGTGCTGACGTGGGATATGCCCTACTGAAGAGCGCTTAGGCTTCGTGATGGTTGTGCAGGTTGTGCACACCACCCAAAGTGAAGTGGTTCTCTCAAATTGGTGAAGGGAAGTGATGGGCTGCTGGTAGTACACTCGGTGTACGGGGGTACGGTACCCCTTGAAGGTTTGATGAGTTCTAAGGCGCTGATACGGCGCCGGAACGTCGCTTGGCGTAGCGACACCCTCCTATACTTTATGGCAGTTATGAAAATGAAAAGCTTAGTAGCAAATTGGAGAGCTGGACTGGATTGGTTACGACGATCACACTGCGAGTCATCGTTTATGTTGCCTGACAACTTGTGGCCTCTTCGTACGGTGCATGTACAGTATTACTTCAGATGTATTATACTTCGTAGTACCCGAGCACAAAAGCAGCAGTAGGTATCTGCTGTCTTTCCATTAGATAGTATCCAAGGCTTGAATTATATCAGTTAGCTCACATTATAAAATAATAACTGCCGGTATTTCTATAAAAAATAAAATAGGCAATTTTGTTTTTTTTTGTTTACATGAACGGACGACTCAATCTTCCATTAGCCGACATGATCGTTACGAGTATTTAGTCACCAATCTTTGCGCTATTTCTCCTGGATTTGTAGATAGCAATCGGCGTTTTGTTATGCTCGACATCCGTTTGTGTCCTCGTCATCATACAGTACACTGCGTTACGACAGCGAACGCTACTACGGCCGGTACTATATATACACAGTTATTTCCGAAATGAATTTGCCGGTAATACAGTACCTGGTCGTGCTCTAAGATTGCTAACATTCCAACAGTGCCTAAACCCCTGCGTTCAGAATGGAACTGCTTGGTATTCGCCAACGTGGACAGAATCGCCGAGCACGTGCCATACAGGCGAACATGTGCTGTCCACGAAAAGAAGGGCAATATTAGCAACCATCACTGTTATTAATACTCCATCATGCCAATATATTGTTGGGCCTACTTTTTAAAAGTATCACTAGCTGCTATTTGTACTTTGAGGTATTTTAGCTATAAAAGAGCGTATTCCACTCTGATTTCCAACATATTCACAAAAGAAGCTAAATACGCTAAACGATTCCCGAAAATCGATCTTTTGGTGTAGGATAATGCGTCCAAAGACACGTCCTAAACTGTCCTATTTGTCTTAAATTTTACAGGGAGATTTTGGAGATGTGTCCTAAAAAGCGACTAATCCTTCGCAACAGAATATTATAATTTGTGTCCTGCATATTGTCCTAAACCTCAAATATTAACTTTTTCCGGACTATCTACGTAAATTTATGTTAGAGTTACTTAAACACACATTGGCTTTACTTATTGTCCTGAGGCACACCAACCATTTCTGAATCTCCACTACTGGAGCCAAGCATCATGGACCATCGCGGCTACTCCTTCTGCAGCTAGGGGCGCTCGCCTATCTGGCCTCTACTGCCACCTGCGGAGGCAGTGTCTTGTCCGCTCTTCTCACGAGCGCGAACATCCAACAGTGCGGCATGGACCACTGAGATCCCGGACCAGGCCCATCGACAAGATGTGCGCCTCGACAGCCTGCAACACCCTGCTCGCTGACGTGAAGGCCATGAACCTGGAGGAGTGCCAACTGCCGGTCGGTCCCGGCTTCAACCTGAAGGCCGACCTGGTAGACTACGTGCCGGCCAACTGCCCATCGACGTCGGCTCCACAGACGCACCTGTTGTCGACACCCCGACGACGCCAGACAACTCGACGAACCGGGCCGAGCACACTGCCTCGCCGACCAAGACCCCATCGCTTGCTATGCGCGTCTTCAGATCGACTTGCAGCCAAGTAGCCCTTGCGGGTACTTTGCTGCTTTTTGGACCCCCCCCCTATATCGTCACATTCTGATCATTAACCATCGTTTGCTACGTGCATGTTGAAGTCGCTCAACCGTTATTAGCGGCTATTATAACCTTCAATGACTATCATCCTTTGAAACATTTAAAAATATTGTCACACACTTCGTAGTAGAAAAGTTTCGTTGAGGTGCTTTACGAGCACAACAAAGAATCGGCTGCTCTTGGAGAGAGGGGCGTTAAGATGTTTATTGTTTCTAGCTAGGCCAGTTGAGGATGTTGCTTGATGACAGTGCATGTTGGGTTTGGTGTTGTCCTAATAGGACAGTGGTCTGAGCTGCAGTTTGTCCTAATAGGACAGACTGAGTGTCTAGTTGTCGAGTGTCCTATTAGGACACGCGGACCCTGGTTTGTTTCGTCCTAAAGCTCATTGTGATGTCCTAAATATCGGTTTGTTTATGAGCCGAATTGCTAGTTTTTTATCTCAGGTTTTAGGACAATAGGACACTTTAGGACTCCTAGTAGGACGCATTCTCTCCTATCTTTTAATTGTAAATTCCAAAGAAAACTGGTTATCTTGTGCAGATCTACGACAT